CACTCTCACAATGCCCTCTCCCCACCTCCCTCCACATGATATACAAAGTACAAAACCAGGCTCATTTATTCTTCTTTTCCAATAAACGAGTCTTCGCGGTAATGTCGTTCGCGGTAATGTCGTTCGCGGTAATGTCGTTCGCGGTAATGTCGCTCGCGGTAATGTCGTGTCACGCTATTTTCGACCACAACATTTGAGAATGTATCAGATCCGATCAAATTCGACAGATCAGTACCACATCTGGTCTTATCACATCTAGTATCTTTTCAAATACTTATCTGGTATATCAGTATTGCAAGATGAAGCTATAATAAAATTAAGAGAAAAAGTTGATTTGTCAAAGAGCTGAAGTCCGGTTCTCGGAATAGTCAATGAATCAATTCTAAGATTCGACTAAATCTAATGATGGGTATCGCCCAGTAGGATTCCTTGATATGAATATGGGCTTCTTTAGAACGATAGCTCTATGCATTCAGAAAAACAATAAAAACCAAATTTACCTTTTTTATCTTCGTTATTTAGCATTTTTGTTTTGCATGTTCTGGTGAAGCATTAACAAAGCGTATACGTTCAAAAGCATTTTGTGCAATTCTTTGTCAAGAAGTATCATTTTTCGATCAAAATGAAAATAGCACAGGTACATTATGTACACGTTTAGCTTCAGATGCAGCAGCACTTCAAGTTGTACGTAGTCAAAAGTACAGATATTTGTTAAATAATTCATATGCTTCTATTATTAAGGCAACTGGCACACGACTTGGAATAGGTATTGAAGTCATTGCAAATTTGAGTATAGGTGTCATATTAGGATTTATTCTTGTTTGGCAATTAACAATAATCGTTATTCTCTTTATATTAATTATGTTTATCGTCCTTTTCTCACAAATATATTTAGCAATGAAATTCAATAATCAAGATAAACGAATATTCGAACAAGCTGGAATGGTATGAATAAATATACGTTCTCTTCCTTTTTTCTTCGAAAGTATAAACAGGAGTTTTATTAAAACACATCAAAAATAAAGTCCAAAGGACAAGTTTTTCATGAATGCCACTCTGAATATTACGGAGTAAAAGCTTTTTACTTGGAAATTTTATAATTACACACCTCTTCCTCTTATGTTCTGTTGAAAAAACACTGCTCTGATCCTCACAGCGTCTTATAGTTGAGCTTCTATGGATTTATTCTTTTAGCCGTGGATTTTAAATAGTCATAAATTTATGTTAACTTTAAGAGGAATGTCAGAGTTCCTGCAATTCAGCTATTCTATAGAATTCTATAGAATACAGACATACTTGCTAACCTAGAATTCTATAGAATATTTCTATTTCTAGAATTCTACGTTAGCATAGATATACTTTTTATTGACCAAGTTTGAGTCAAGCGGAAATGTATAGAATTCTACGTTAGTACAGACATAGTTCCTCACCTAGAATTCTATACATTTCCGCTTGACTCAAACTTGGTCAATAAAAAGTATATCTGTGCTAACGTGGAATTCTAGGTTAGTAACTATGTCTGTACTAACGTAGAATTCTATAGAATTCTACACATTTCCTAGATTTCTGTTTTGGGAATAACTCGGACTTATCATGTTTTAGCTGTGAAAAAGTTGTTGTAGAATTCATAGGGAAAATGTAGAATTCTGTAGAATGTCTGAAATGTAGGAATGCTGCCATTGCTGAACTTTAAGTATTTTCATCCTTCATTATTTATAGTTTTTGATCGGGTCTTTCTCTGTGAGCAATCTGTTGACACATAAAGTACCTCAGACGTTCTTAGAGATATGTTAGTTCATAAATGGCTAAGGGAGAAAAAGGTCATAAAGGCCAAGAAGGTCAAAACTGCTAAAAATTAGAATAATTCAGAACTCGCTAACAAGAAGTCTAAAATCATTTTTTAAGCTTTGAATTTAACATTTAGTGTAACATATACTCCTATTATATCTCGCATGGCGGTTCAAAGTCAAAACTAAATATCGAAATTGGATTCAGAAGTAATATTTGAAACAATTTTTCTTCAAGGTTTTTAGAGAACCCTCCGAAAAGTCCATTTCTTTGTATCCCGGAGATATGTTAAACTTCTAAGAGTGTTTTTTACTCTTAACCAAATTTCACTAAAATCTTAAAAAATTTGCCGTGATTAATGTAACTTTCTAAAACAGCACACCCGTTCTTCTGCAATCTCAATTTTGTAAGCCGAATCGAGACGCTAAAATACTTTGAAGAAAAAATTCTGTTATTGAAAAGTTTAATTGTTAAAAAACTGATTGTTTTCGAATGTATTCAATTTCTGAGGCGTAAAAGTAGAACGACTAGGGACCTTGCTATGTGTACTTTGTAGAACTTTTAATTTTCCACAAAACAAGAGTTGGAAGGAAAAGTCACCGGTTTCTAAAATCGAAGTCGTCCAGGAATCACTTCAATTAGAGCGTGGCTGCGAATGACGAAATTTTACTTATTTTTTATTCTGCAGAAAAGATCTTGGAAAAATAAATTTATCTAAGTTACTTATACAGAAAAGAACTCGGAATAATTAATTAATTAATAAATAGGAAAAGCTCTTACATCCTCATATATTATACCTTCCAAATAGTGTAATCTTTGGCAAAACGATTCTTTAATGCAAAACGTTTTGCAACACTTACAAGAATACAGCACAAATAAAAAAAAAGAGAACACGCTGATTTTTCTAGTCTTGTTGTAATGCTAATTTTATTTTTTTTTGGCATCCTCTTCCCCTACGTTTACCAATAAGGTGTGAGACAGGCACCCACATCATCCTTAAACTAATTGCATGTATAGATAAGTATTCTTTGAGATCATATCTACACGAACAAAACCATGGTGGTTTCTTTCTAGACTATTGATTATTCCGAGATCTTTTCTGCATAAGTAGATAAATTTATTTTTCCAAGATCTTTTCTGCAGAATAAAAAAAATAAATAAAATTTTCTGAGATCTTTTACGCAGATATGCTTAACTGACATTTTCCCGAGATCTTTTCTGTCTTTATTTCCTTCCGAGATTCATTCTGCTAATTTTCCGAGATCTTTTCTGATTTTATCCGATTACAAATCTAATATTCATTTGCTCATATAGTCCTATGGAACGGATACTTAGAAAAGTAGTCTCTGCAGATCATTTTAAACTACAACATGAAGAGATTTTGAATTATCCTTCTCGTAGAGCATGTCAAGTTATATGCATGAAAGTTTTTCGAATCTAGAATTTGAATCTTGAATAAGTTGAACAGTCAAAGCTTTGGAGTGAAGCAAAATGTAAAAATATGTAAATAACTATGTATGTTTCAAAAAGAAAACAAAGGAACACATCAGGATCCTTCCTCACTAATAAAGTTTTCAGCCGAAGATGTGTTGGTCGAATAATTCTTTGCATAGTGGGCAATTTTGACTAGGCCTGTGGACATGTGCCACAGAAGTGATACGAAAGCTTCTAAACACTATATCTATAGGTTTTCATATGCACTCTTTCGACTGGTTTGATTTGCACGATCAAAGATATTTTTACCAGGGTTTTCCAGAGATCCGGTATTTGGAAAATCTGACTAAGAGTGATTTAGAACTTTGTAAATCCCACCATTTGAAAGAGCGCGTAGTAAAACCTATGGAAATAGTTTTCGTAGGCTTTCAAACTGCTTTTAAAATGAAAATCCTAGTGCCTAGTCAAAATTGCTGCCGGAATGCTGCAAGTTTGTCATTTCATTAAATCGAACGATTTTTTATGCATAAAAAGATATTAACGGCATATCATTTTCACAATTTTCCGATGAGTTTTCGTCGAGATATAAGCATCACTGCTAATGCCATGAAAATCAGCGTCCTGTGTACAACATGTGTTTTTCTCGGTATGCGTTTTTTCGCTAGTCCCTTCAATTCAGTCACATTACGACTCATAGACAAAATGGGCCGATCGAGCTCAAATTTTCATCACAGATACTTCAAACCCTATCTCAGGTTCGTTTTTTTAAGCGTTTTCGATTTCAACTTTCGGCGTGAGAAGATTTTTTAAAACAAAAAATCAGTTTTTTATACAGGATTTTTAATATTTTTCGAATATCTCGAGAAGGAAAGAACATTTTTCGAAAAGAAAAAAACGAACTTAAGATAGGTTCTAAAGTATCTGTGATAAAATTGTGTGTTGGATCGGACTATTTTTTCGAAGGATCGTAACGTGACCTGATGAAAACTTGAGTTTGGCAGAAAATCCATAGAAGAACACGTCGGAAAACTCGAGACAAAAATACTTGATTTTCTTTTTCGTTGTTCTATCTCTGGTATAAATTTCACTCCGATCCGACATCGGCCTCCCTGATTTCCAAGAGGGTCAAAACAGAGGGGAACACCCTTAACAGGCTCTGTAAGAGTAGTATACCTTGTTGCATAGTCAAATGACCTCTGACGTTCACCCAGAATTTCAGGACCATATATTGTATGAAATGCGATCTATTTTTGCGATAGGTAATCGTTGAATCAATTAACAATATTCGTACTGTTGTACAATTAACAAAAGAAAAATATTTTGGTGATAAATATTGTTCTATATTGACCGAACAATATCGGTAAGTAGTTATATACAGTCTCTACAAAAGCATTTTCATCTCTGTAACTTGAAAATCTTCATAGTTATTGAACAAATCTTTTA